GTAAACGTCCCTTTCAATATTATTGCACTTCCATAGCGACGTGGGTGCGTGCGTTATACCGGTTTCATAGTGCAAGTCCACTGAGTTACTATGCCTCAAGTTAACATGAATACCTATTGCTGAAGACCTATTTTAACCCGGATGTTAAGGGATGCTGAATCATTATTGAAACATAAAACATAACTCACTGCTGAAGATAAAAAACATAATGCAAAAACGTAAGTTTTTCTGAATTTATTTTCATTTTTTTCATGTACCTTTGGCCAGGACACAAGCCCTAGCTGACGAAACAAAGCACTGGCTGACGAGACAAAGCAGTGGCTGACCTGACGAAACAAAGCACTGGCTGACGAAACAAAGCACTGGCTGACGAAACAAAGCACTGGCAGACAAAACAAAGCACTGGAGTTAACCACAAAGCACTGAAGGGTTTCTGCTTTATCACATCACTCTGGCGTCACTCACAGTCCATACACTGGTCTATACTGTGAGGTGAGGCGAAGTGAGATTTAAGGATGCGTTCAAGATTATTGCACTTGTAGTCACATGATGCCTCTACGTCAGCAGAGAATGCCCTGTTGGCCTATTCTTATCAATGGCCCGAGAATGTTTATTTGTTAGAAGTAAGGAAATCAGTTGAATTTATTCCACTTTCAACAAAGCAGGTTGCTTAAGGACATTGATTGGCCTTCTCGAAGCGTCAAATCATTAAGTTGCTGAAATATTGGCATGTCATAAATATGGCTTTTCAAAGTAAGAATAAATAAAGCTAACTTTTCTAACTTATATGGTAAAGGGAGGTAAATTTTAAATCTGCAAGCAAGTCTTGGAAGAAAGTAATCCAACATTGATAATCTTTTCATGTCTTGATTTTCTTGTCGATGGCTGTGAAAGAATATGATTCTGTTGCCCAATACAAAACCTACACCACATTACTCTCCCACCTGGTTCTGGAATATTTGCAACATTAAATAACAAAGGTCAAAAGACGAGGGTAACCAAAAACAGTAAAAACAAAAGTTTCAATACAACAGACATTCCATCTGTGAGTCCAGTGATTTACCAAGTGACACCCATCCATTCCAAGTTGTGCTAAACATCATGAGGGGTTGAAGCCAATCAAGTTTCACAATTCCTGCAGAAAGGACTGACAAATAGGCAACAATAATTTCCACATGCCTGACATTGCTTGATAAGGACATTGCTTGACATTTCGGTTTAGGTTGGCTGGATATACAGTCCTGAAATATATCATGGATGTACACACAGCACAGCACACAAGGATTATGGACACTTCAATCATATTGCACATGTCATTTACACATGTTAATCAATACATCATCACACAGACACAAGGCATCACACGGGACACTACAAGTCATTTCTCTGAAACATCTGGCTGTAACTTAGTCTGTCTTACAGACCCTGATACAAATATATATCAAATACAGCCCATGCAAGTCTATAATGTTTGGCAAGTCTAGATTACTGGAGTATCTGATAATGAAGAGTCACTGGGCTCCCTTTTATTATATTTTTATTAAGATAACTGAACAACTGTTTTTTCTGTACGATATGTTCATTTCAGAGACTAGATGTTAGTCCAGCTGTAACTGTAACCTCAACTGTCCTCATACCACAACATTGTTATTGTTTGTTTGTTTGTTTGTTTAACGCCGTACTCAGCAATATTACAGTATATGACGGCGGTCTGTAAATAATCCAGTCTGGACCAGACGATCCAGTAATTGATATCATGAGCATTGATCCACCGGATCCCGTTAGTCGCCTCTTACGACAAGCAAAGTCGCCTTTTACGGCAAGCATGGTTGCTGAAGACCTATTCTACCCTGGAACTTCAAGGTAACCAACATTGTTTAACACAAACAACCCATCAAGTGACTTTGTTCAAAATGTGCCTCTGTTCACCCAGCAGTAAAGGGGTACCAAGTAGGATGAGATGGCAATATTGTTGTTAACCTTCTAGAGGCTATCAGACATCTTGGGTTGTCTGCTCCCCAGGGAGCTGAGAATGATTATTGAGTGCAAACTGATCCAGTGACCGGGGTGATAATAGCGCTTTGAGCATGCCCTTGAGGGATGTTGAAATATGCACAATATAAATAGCCTATTAGCATTATTATGTTGATATAGTTGCACACAGATTACTAGGCAGGCGCTCTTACCAACTGAGCTGCAGAGCACACAGATTTGATAATAATAATGCTAATAGGCAATTTATATTGTGCATATCTCAACACCCCACAGGGGCATGCTCAAAGCGCTATTATCACCCCGGTCACTGGATCAGTGTGCACTCAATAATCATTCTCAGCTCCCTGGGGAGATTACAACCCAAGATGTCTGATAGTCTCTAGAAGGTTAACAACAATATTGCCATCTCATCCTACCGGGTACCCCTTTACTGCTGGGTGAACAGAGGCGAATATTGAACAAAGTCACTTGCCCAAGAAGTCACCACATGTGCTACATGTGCTTCAGTGTGGGGCACCAAGTCAGAATAAAAATCCCCTTCTACACATGCTTGTAGTAAGAGTTGACTCAATAGATCGGGTGGGCAGGCTCGCTGACTTTGTGGATTGCGTGTCATCGTACAGAGTGGATTGATGCTCATGATGTTAATCACTAGATTGTGTAGTCCAAACGTGATTATTTTCAGGCAGCTGTCATATAGCTGTAATATTGCGCAGTGCAGGGTTAAAAACAAACGATCAATAAAAAACCATATCGAAACTTAGTGATTGAGTAAAGAAAATCTAACAGGGACTTTCCAAAACTTTATTGTTTTCCTAATCAGAACAGAAATATGAGAAAAGTGTTACATACATGCTTCAATTTATCAAGTGTCAATCATTCCACATACCATGTATATAACCGCCATTCATTCTTAAATGTCATGCGGACACAATATTTGTATCCCATAAAACCGAGTCGCATATCTATCTTTAAAATAGAAACAGGTCAGTGAAAGTTGAGAGTGGACTTACAGTTTTCACCTTAGACCTCAGCTGCACTGTCCAGTTTCTCCAAACAAGTTAAATCTGACAGACAAAGATTGGTAAAAGTTTAAAATATAAATAACTACAAGTTGAGGTCCAGTCAACTACCAGTGTTCCCATTTACCGGTAATTACCTGTCTTTTACAGGTAAAATTAGGCTTGAACCAGTAATTCATATGACTGCCAGTCCCTGAAAGTACATTTTAAATCTTTGTTTTTGGACAAAACATTGGCTTTATTCATATAAGTATATGTTTCGAATGAAGTCAGCTTGCTTGTTACCATCAGAGTTTCCACTTGTCTATTTCATGCTTCAAGGTTAACTATATATTTGTAGCAACTTTGGCATGAAATATTAACAAAAAAAGGCGAAAAATGTGACTGAACTTTATGTAAATGACATGTAGACGTTACGAAGTTACTTCAGAGATGACATCATTGCATTGAACATGATGTTAAAAGAATTAAAACCAGGTAATTTTCATACTTTTTTATTTGCTAAAAGTTGGGACTGACAAAAATTAGAGGGGACTGGTAATTTTTAGAGTTGCCAGTCCTGGGCCCACTTGCACAAAACGATCTTAGCGTTAAGACTATTGTAAGCCTACGTTAAAGTATGGGAGTTGGGATCATCTTAGCGCTAAGATCGCTTTGAGCAAATGGGCCCAGGTGGACTGGTGGTTTCAAAAGTAAACGGGAACACTGGCTACGACTGCCATTTGTACAGTAAAGCAATGTCTTGATGAATCATCCTCAACTTGGAGAAAAATAAGTTCTGTCTAATTGTTTCCCTGCTCAGGTTTTTTCCAACGAGTCACAACTCCAATAGCTGCTCGGCAAGGTCAGGCGTAGAACAGTCGGACCCCATGACCCGTGTTTTAACACCAAATTAATCCCCCGTCTTAAGTGAACAAACAAACACGCATGCAGGTAGTGTTCTCCAGCTCCCTCTTACACAAAGAGAAGGGGGCAAAACTTCATTATGCTGTTAAATTTCTGAACAAACTTCATTAGAAATCAAACTATTTGAATAAAAACACTGCCAGACCACACCTAATTGTTTGTGCATTCCGAGAGTAATTGTGGTCAAAACTGACCATCACTGCCCGACATGTGACCCTGTCCGCATCCCAATTGACAATGGTCATTTCAGTACATATGGCCAGTGCTAGTCGCCGCCCATTCCAACAGGCACGTTCAGTGTAATCTAATTCAGGCTCACTTGTGTTAGGCAATCAGGACTCCAGGAACATGACAATAGGCACCAGATATAACTGCGTGCTGCTTGAGTGGAGGCCAGCCTACATAATCCACGGCTTATAGTCACTAACTATTGTGGGTGGTCAGTTGGAATCGAATGGAAGGCAAATCATTAGCACACTTAATTGACAATGACAGTGAAGTTCTCGGTGCTGAAATAAAAATAACCTAGCTTCTCATTGGCTATCAGAGTTGCAAAGCTGCCTACTTTCCTAAATTACAATTCGTAATTTGTTACAAGTTTTCAAGGATATCGTCTACGGTACCTATAAAGCCATGTGCTTATGAAATTCAATTGATAATTTTATCGCTTAGTTTCTATTTTGTTTACAGAAAATTCTGACAATGCGAGAGGAGTGTCTCGATTGGACAGATGCAACATCATAAACAGATTTCCTACCAGTGGATAAACAAAACCAGTTCATAGCAAATATTGTAACGCTAAATAATGACTCTCTCCTTACTGATGCTCTCCTTACAGGGGTCTTTAAAAGTTTAGCTCCTATGATATTTTTTAGTAGATTGCTATACCTACAATTCGCATTAATTAAGAAAGGACTTACAATTTCGTATTTCAGTTGCAAATTCGTAACAAATACGAAAAATTTGGAAGCTATGGAGTCATTTAAACAAAGTCAGAGAAACGTCCCTGCACACCAGGACTGGAGAAAGTTTTGGGGCTAAATCCAGGTAGCTTATAAAGATTACTCGCAAAGCGGGTCCAGAAGATGGCCAGGGGCATTTATTGGAACAAGAATTTAATACGATGAAGATTCTAAATAAGAAGAGCAAAAAAACTTTCACTTGACATGATTTTTCCACACCATCTTGTTCACAATATGGTTTTTGATTAATTATATCTCTCACAACATTCAATACAAGGATGAAGCAAAATAAACATAATAAACACATATTAAAAAATATGCTGTTCATGTCTCAATATTTCTGACTACTAAAACAGCAGGGTTCTGGTAAAATGTTACAATATATACACTAATTGACAGTTACTTACATAGCGCCACAAAACACAAACTTTCCCCATGACGCACTGTGACCATAATCAAATCTTTGGAAATTGATTGATTTGGCAAATCTGACATAAAATCAGTTGTATTATCTTGCTGGCTCATCACTGTGTCAAGAATATTACACCAGGACATCACGCATGGGTTGCTCTCTTGCCCTCAGTCGGGGACCCAGCAGCAAAATCTCCACTTCGAGAGGACACAAAGTTTTCATAACTGGAATAAATAGAAACGGTTTTAAATATGTTGAAAGTTTGTTTGTTTGTTTGTTGTTTAATGCCGCACTCAGCAAAATATTCCAGCTATATGACGGCGGTCTGTAAAATAATCGAGTCTGGACCAGACAATCCAGTGATTGGCATCATGAGCATCGACCCACGCAATTGGGATCGATGGCATGTATCAACCAAGTCAGCGAGCCTGACCACCCAATCCCGTTAGCCGCCTTTTACAACAAGCATAGTCGCCTTTTACGGCAAGTATGGGTTGCTGAAGACCTATTCTACCCCGGATTCTTCATGGGTCTAAATATGTTGAAAGAGAAAATTTCTTCCATCAAATGAAAGAAAGTTACATAGCAATGTAGCTCACTTTAGGCAGTTATCAACATTCAATATTCACTGTCTAGTAGCTATTGTGATTTTAGATTTCAACAGTGACATAATTGGGAGTCTAATGCCATATCCCTTAGTTAATGTCTATTGTTCATTTAAAGCTGTTTTATTTGCCAAATAAAACCTGCATGTATCATCCTTTGTATATTTTATATGTAATATCACACCTTTAGGAAATAAAAAAAGTATCAAAATTATATTTTTAAAGTTCTCATATCTGAAACAAAGAAATGGTTTATATTGAAAGAGAAACTTTCTTCCATTAGATGAAAGAAAGTGAAACGGCCCTGTGATATGGGCTGTAGCTCACCTTAGTTATCAACTTTCAATATTCTAATGTCTAATGTGTTTTTAGATTAGCTGATCTTACTAGAGTGAGTGAGTGAGTGAGTGAGTGAGTGAGTGAGTGAGTGAGTGAGCTGGGTTTAACGCCGCTTTTAACAGTATTCCAGTTATATCACAGCGTGTCAGCTTAATGTTGGAAGAAAGCCCGAAGTGATGCAGGTCTCAGACGTTTACCACTTCGGTGAAACCCACAAGCACAGGTATGGTACTGACAAACCTAAAAACATAATTGCGAGGAACTGGGATTCGATATATATCACTCCAAAAGATTTACTGGTATAAAGATGATATGTCTCAATGACTTTATAACAATTTTATTTTCCAAACTATGCCAGGCCTGGAAATCTCCAGGATTCCATGACCTTTGTATCATTTTTAGTGAGTGAGTGAGTGAGTTAAAATTTAAAGTCACATCAGCAATATTTCAGCCATAGTGGGACTACACAAAGTAATGCTTTTGTATTTTCTAAAACCCTGTCATCAAAGGACAGTAAAATAACTTGTAACATCACAGAATTCTATTCATGACTTGTTTAAAAGAATACGCTGCTGTTTGTTGTTTAACACCGCACTCAGCAATATTCCAGCTATATGACGGCGGTCTGTAAATAATCGAGTCTGGACCAGACAGTCCAGTGATTGACATCATGAGCATCGATCCAATTGAGATCGATGACATGCATGAACCAAGTCAGCGGACCTGACCACCCGATCGTTAGTCGCCTCTTATGACAAGCATAGTCGCCTTTTTATAGCAAGAATGTATTGCTGAAGACCTATTCTAACCCGGATCTTCAATACGTAAAACAGACAGGTAAGGAACACAATACATATCTCAGGCTGTAGATCCCCAGCAACCACACTTTCTAAGAGTGAGTGAGTGAGTTTGGTCTTAGGCCGCTTTTAGCAATATTCCAGCAATATCAGGGCGGGGGACACCAGAAATGGGCTTCACACATTGTACCCATGTCGGGATTCGAACTGGGTCTTCGGCGTGACGAGCGAACGCTTTAACCACTAGGGTACCCGACCGCCCCTTCTTTTCAAGAGACCTGGTGGACTAATTGTAAATCTGCAACCTGCATCATATGGAGAGCTGAGATATTTTTTCAGCTACAGCTGAAAATCCAGACAGTTTTTTTTTAAACTATAAAGCTTTTTATAAACATCTTGCAACAATGTGTTTTTTGTGGCAGACAATATTTTTTTTCTACAGCTTGAAGTATCATTACTTTTTTCAAGCATTTTCTGGGACAATATATTTTTTTGATAAAATCCCAGGCCACCCCCCCCCCCCCCCCCTCCCCCCCCACACACTTCCTAATAATCAAATGGCTGGTCTCTTAGCTGAAAATGTAAATAAACAAATATCATTAGTAATTGAGCAATATGAAGTAGCCTGTGGACACAGGTTTGATAATCTGGTAATTTGTAATTTGGTGTATCGAATCACTCTTCTGGTATTGGTAGTCGACTATTAACAACAAGACAGCCCCCCTTCCTTGAAGTTGGTTGGTTTGTTGTTTTTTATGCCGCACTCAGCAATATTCCAGCTATATGATGGCGGTCAGTGTAAATAATCAAGTTTGGACCAGACAAATCCAGTGATTGATATCATGAGCATTGATCCACACAATTGGGATCGATGACATGCTTCAACCAAGTCAGCAAGCCTGACCACCCGATCTCGTTAGTCGCCTCTTATGACAAAGCATAGTGGCCTCTTTCGACAATGAAAATATGTTCCAGAAAAAACAGTAGTTAAGTTATCTTAATAAAATAAAATAACAAGGGGACAAAGTCATTGATATTGCCTGCAATGGTTCATACTTATAGTGAATTAATATATGAAATTTATTGCCATGGAAACTCAAAACGAATTTATTTAAAAACTCCCAAACCATCAAATGGCACCAGTTCACCACTTGACCTACCTGTACACCAACTTTGGTGAAGACTTATGGTAAAGTTTTTAAGATCTGCTCCAGAAACGACATCTTGCACGGAGGGACAGGCAGAAGGATGGACCCAGGGAGGGGGGTCATTTTAATACCCCCCCCTCCCCCGTAAAACGTGTTGCAGGGGATAAACTGGAGCCCAGTGACTCTCTTCACTTTCACTGCTGGACCAGTAATCTAGACTTGCCCACTATCATAGACTATTATAGAACTGTATTGGATATATTTCTTTCAGGATCTGTATGACAAACAAGGGGTGGTCGCACAGCAGTAGAAACTAACAGTTTTAGTCCACTAGTCCTTATAATGATAACATATAGCAAAGCCCTAAAATGACAAATTTCTACTAGACCTTATGATACCTTAACTATTGGGCAGTCTGGCAAGGACTACAGGACTAGCGCCAATTTCTAAGGCTGGGTGGACCAGTATTTAGTGATGTGCCTCTGTTCGCAACACAATGTATTTTCAATTTACCACTGATACAACGGAACTGAGATAGCTCTTAAAGAGTTCAATCATTAGCACAGTGTGTTTGGTACAGACTCATGCAGACTTGTAGAAACCCTTCCAACAAATAGACTGACACATAATCATGCTGGAGGTCAGGATGGTGGACTGCAAGAGGTCTGTTATTTCAATTCATGTTTGGACTTAATCTTCAGTTTTTCGTCTTTAAAGGCTTCAAGTAAATATGAAATAAAACGCAGTGTTGTCACAAATCAGCCGGAGCAGACAAGACAGACACAGGTGTCTCGGATACATGGATCTGATTATAAAAATCTCTTTTTTCTTATATACGTAAGATAATGAATTCATCTTTCAGTCAACATAAAAGTTTTGATGACATAGTTATAAATATAAACATATCATTCATGACAGGATTTTCAAACATTTAGTTCCTTTATGATAGATGTTTTGTGTAAAGAAATAAATGTAGGATCACTGCAAACTGGAGTTCTCTTTATTGCCTTGTCATGTTTTGTGTTTTGTTTGCATTCCAACAATGATTTTGTTTGTTTGTTTGTTTGCTTGTTATTTAACACTGCACTCAGCAATATTCCAGCTATATGAAAGTGATCTGTAAATAATCGAGTCTGGACCAGACAATCATATGTCATAAAAACATATGTCTCCATCTCCTGTTTTTGATACATAAGTTCAAGTTGTTACTGCAATTGTGTAAAATCTGAGAAACAATAATAGCAAGAAAATACTATTTGAGATTCTGATTTAATCATTTATGAGTGAGTGAGTGAGTTAAACTTTTACATCGCATCGGCAATATCGCAGCCATATCGCGATGTAATTCATTACTGAGGCAACATTACAGCTGATGCCATGTCGACTGTTTATGGCAGAAAAATTAAAAAAACTGAAAATTGAAAAATATGGAAAAGCAATAGAAAAGCATGTTGTCATTGCACACTTATAGTTTCATGCAAAAATATTCATAAGTTTGAGTGCAACGGCTTGGAAACGAAGTCTAGAATTGTTAGAGACTAAATTCAAATAGTTTCCATGGAAACCTAACAAAATAAAATTTAGAAAAATTTCAAATGATCAAAAGGCATCAGTTAAGATGATGCAAAATGCATTTGCCAAGTTTTGTTTAAATAAATGGAACTCTTTTCAAGTTATGGCCTGAAAACAAACCCTATGTTTGTTTCACACTAAGTCGAAATAATATTTAGAAAAAAATCAAATAGCAAAAGGCACCAGTTAAGCTGATGAGAAATGCGTATGCCAAGTGTCACTGAAAATCACTGAACATGTTTTCAGTTATGGCTTGGAAAAGGACAGTGACACAGATGCTTATGCCGACCCCAACGCCAACCCCAATGCCAATGCCAGTGGGAATCAAGCCAAAAACAATATGTCGTAGACATAACGATACCACCATGTCATTCGTGTAGACAGTAAACTGTTGATAGGTAGACTTTGTATTGACACAGTTGGCGCAAAGTACATCATCAAAGGGAGATAACCCCGGTGCTTTTTCAATTGAGATGAAACTCTCGTAAGACATGACAACTCAATTGATTAATTCTAAAACTCTGAAGTATCATTTTTGTTTTGCTTTGCCGAATCCTCAATTAGCTGAAAATGTTACATTGCTCAGAGTGCAGGAAATGTATTTCTACTTTTGTGTAAACTCCCCTTAACATATATACATCTACCTCCACCAATATTGACCTTGAAGATGAGTAAGAAAAGAAATGGCGCGGCCTCAACACAGGACAAGAATGAAGGAATGGAAAAAATCTCCATCCAAATATCTGCACCTAAGGATCTCGGT